TAAGAACAGTCTTATGATGGACATAAAGAGTTGTGACTCGTGAGAGAATGAGGCGCGTGTGATATCCGCGTCTCTGTCCACAGCGGCTGCTCTTAAAGGGCCAGCTACCAATAAAGCGTTCTGTCAGTAAAGTTACTGAAAGAACAAAGGGAACAGAGAAAATTACTCACTGCTCTTGACTAAAGAACTTGTGTAGCTTCAATAAGTAGTAGTCTATATATAATTTATAATTTATGCAGCCCAGACTGTTTGATAACTTTATTCAATTTCTGCATATGTTAGACAGTTAATTTTTATCCAGACATCAATGGCTTATTGATCATTATAGGTGTTATCAATCATTTAGTTGTTATTGCTAATTTCAGAATTATCACTAATCTGTGTGTGCATTTGGTTTAGAACCAAACAAGTTGACTCATGAAACCATTTGTTTATTTAATCGAAATCGCATATCACAACCGCAATATTGAACTCAATAATCGCAATATGACATTTTCCCCAAATCGTGCAGCCCTAGATAAAATTATAAATCTTTACCCGGACAAGTGACTTTTGTGCATGGACAAGAGAAACATAAATTTACTTGTCCGAAGGACAAGTGCCTCAAAAAGTTAATGTCAAGCCCTGACACAAATAAAAAACTTTGAGGCGAACTATAATTTACGTTTTTGTACAGCACCGTATTTTTATAGCACGCGATGCAAGATGCTTGTCCTCCAGCAAAACAAACGAGGCAGCTACATGGTCGTTCACACATCGTTCGTCAAACTGAACAATAATAGGCTACATATACAAGTCTTTTTTTTTTTGGTGTCATTTAGGACACTTTTATTCATATACGCATTACGCACACATACAAATGCATGCATTCATAGGCACGCACACACCACATGATGCGTTAAAGAGTAACCTCCATCCGCCTCCCGAGTTTCATTAAAAATCATCCCAAATAATTCCAATACCCTCTTCTGCTGTCTACCACTTCTTTCGCCATGTATTTGTTCGTTTCTTTTATTATTTTATGCAATCCAAAACACTCTAACCTGCCGCGCTTCGTATCTCCAGAGCCCGTCTAACTTGTCCGCTTGTCCGGGACAAATGGATTTTAGAAGGACAAGTAAAAGAGAATTTTATTTGCCCGAACGGACAAGTAGCCTGATTAGAACATCAATAACAAACAAAAAAAAAAAACTAGGGAATCACTAAACCGAGAGAATGATTCTGATTTTATTACATTTATTGTAAGTTGCGATCGATTGTGGATAATAAATGTATTAGCCTGCATGCTGACGGTGAGGTTGCGCTGTTGACGCTCGCGCAGCCTCTCGAGGAGAAATCTACACACATGAGCGCAGCACACACACACTCAGTTATCAACATACTGCCTCTGAAAAATCTAAATGTGGAGTTTCTATATTTTAAGCAGCCTCAATTATTTTTCCTGAATACCATATCACGATTGAAAATGTGACATTGATTTCCTACAACAGTTCAATAAACAGTTAAAATTAAGTCACTTACATTTTAGATGCAATGAATATTGGCTGTTTTTGTTCTGTTGCTGCAGCGAAAATAGTTCCAAACAAAAATCACAGCAGAACCACGGCACATCACAGGAACACTCGACCTGTTTTCATTACTGAATGATTCAGCATTTTGACCGAATCGGTTGAGTCAAAGATTCAATGACCCATTCATTAACATCCGTCTCATTCTTGAATGAATCAACCGTTTAAACGAATCATTTGAATTAATGAATCAATGACTCACTCATTAATACGACCGCCTGCCGCCACCTATTGGCAGTTTATTGTTATGTTTATAAGTAGCCTAGTATACTTCTTTCCAATGTTTCTTATTTGTACATTTAAATCAATTTCATAACATTATTTTATGCAATTGTAATTTTTCAGTGTAAATTATTTAATTTGATCAGCCCTAGGGTAACAGTATGCTTCATCTTTCATTTTAAAGTCCTAAATTTGATCAATAAATTCAATTATTTAGAATAAGACGACACTATAGGGCATTTAATAAGATTGGGGGAGGGGATGCCCTTCAAAGGTGCAGATATTACAATATGCCAATTTAAATATCAAAGCTGATTAAACACTGATGAGAATATTGCTTCAGAATAAATAAATAAAATGTAAAAAAATCTGGACAAGCAACTTTTTTGATGTGAATGACAGATTTACTTGTTCGGAGGGCAAGCACATGAAAAGGCTTAAGGTCGAGCCCTGAATAAAAAAAAAAATTCCCTACCGACCCATGACCTCAACTGACAACAAACCGGAACCAAACTTTTTTTTTTTTATGCCTTGACAGGGCAGTTTACGGTGGCGAGATGATTGACAGGGCAGTTTACGGTGACAGGATGATTGACAGGGCAGTTTACGGTGGCGAGATGATTGACAGGGCAGTTTACGGTGACAGGATGATTGACAGGGCAGTTTACGGTGACAGGATGATTGACAGGGCAGTTTACGGTGACAGGATGATTGACAGGGCAGTTTACGGTGACAGGATGATTGACAGGGCAGTTTACGGTGGCGAGATGATTGACAGGGCAGTTTACGGTGACAGGATGATTGACAGGGCAGTTTACGGTGACAGGATGATTGACAGGGCAGTTTACGGTGACAGGATGATTGATAGGGCAGTTTACGGTGACAGGATGATTGACAGGGCAGTTTACTGTGACAGGATGATTGACAGGGCAGTTTACGGTGACAGGATGATTGATAGGGCAGTTTACGGTGACAGGATGATTGACAGGGCAGTTTACTGTGACAGGATGATTGACAGGGCAGTTTACGTGACAGGATGATTGACAGGGCAGTTTACGGTGACAGGATGATTGACAGGGCAGTTTACGGTGACAGGATGATTGACAGGGCAGTTTACGGTGACAGGATGATTGACAGGGCAGTTTACTGTGAGGAGATGATTGACAGGGCAGTTTACGGTGACAGGATGATTGACAGGGCAGTTTACGGTGACAGGATGATTGACAGGGCAGTTTACTGTGACAGGATGCACGCGACAGATCTGTCCGTTAAAGATGGCGAACTAGTTTGTCCCAAAGCTTGTGTACTCTTCTGCTACACACTCAAAAGTATGTACTTTTTCTTAACCAAAAGAGTACATACTTTTAGGGCGTAGTATAAGCAGGCGAATTGGGACGCAGCATTAGATAAACTTTGTATATACTCTAAAATAAAATAATAGAGAATCTACAAGCTTTACAATTTACCTGGATGGATGGTTTATATTTATTGTTAATTTAATTTGTCAAAAACATGACAAAGTTGGAGGATACAATGCAAAACATCTAACGCAAAAGCATCACTTTTTTTTAAGACTAACAATTATTATATTAATTCATAAAATAATTAAGTATTATTATTATTATTATTATAAAAGAGAAACACAACAGTTAAAATAACTTTACCAGACATTCTACAAATGTTTGTGAATCTTCAGTCATATAGTGAATAAAACGCCATGCAATAACAAAACAAGACATCCTGTAATGCTTAACATAATAATATGATAACATAATTATGATAATATGAGGACTGTTTATATACAAAATGGGAATGTTATATATATATATATATATATTTCAATTTTGTATACGAACAGTGAAATTGATGTTTGCATGCACATTATTAATGATCTGTTAAGCATTATATGATAATGCAGTGATGTTGTGTAATGAAGTTTAGCCATGTTGCTTCCGATCGTGTGTTTGTTCCTCAGCAGCAGTGTTTGTCTTTGATGAGATAACAGGTGACACAAAAGGTCACCAACTTCTTTCAGACTCAGGCCTTCATTTTCCCTCCAAGCTAAACACATCTCCAGAGCACTTCCTGTCAAACAGGAACTGATAGTACGCTCCATTTTTATCTGGGCCAGAACATGGAAATGTTATCGTATTCCTGTGGGACTCTTCATCCACCCTTTGCCTGCAAGTCTGTCTGTCCCTCTGCGTGCAGGATTGTGACGTGACCGTGAACAAAAAACGTTCCTATTTCATCTATCTGCATTGCCATTCAATTCACACATTTTATAGAGACTGTGTCATAAAGTCTGTATGGGTGTGTCTATTAATTGTGTGCATGTTTGATTAAGAAGCAGATATTATAGTCAAAAATAATAATAATGTGTGATGACAGATATTGAAAACAGATTTATGAGAGGAAAGAGAGGAAAACAGACCGTGAAAGAATAATATTTGTCAACGAAACACAAAGCACGCTGAGGAAATCATGGTGTTTTCATAGTCTTTTTATTTCCACAATTAAACATTAAATATTTTATAAAATAATAATCTCACTCCTGTTTCACAGTGCAAAAAATACAAAAGTACAGCATATGGTGGATTCAGTAGTTATTGTAGACCAGAATATACAAACATCTAATAACCATAAAAATAATCTTCCATGAGTTTTTGATATGCATGAGTACACTTGCTAGAAAAATAGATATAGGTAGTTAATTTCTCAGCAGAATAATGTCTCAAAAAGCAGACAGTAAAATGAGCAGCGTACTGATCCGAACAACACTTATAACTTACAATTTGAACAGATTTAAAACATAAATTATCATATCACATGAAAATCAACTTATGTAGTGTTTATGTGAGCTTTCTATCTAGACAGCATTAGTAGGTGTCATAGACAGCTGACAATTGCACAAAACCACTATAAAACCACTAGACCAGTCTAACTAATGCAAACCAGCTTAGTAGGTGGTGTCAAGTGCAATGTTGATGATTTATTTGTTTCTGGAAATTGTTAAATATCTATCTTATGTGTGCTACCCATGAGAAATGTTTCAGATCAGTCACTTGCGAGGTTCCTTTACAGTTACAATGCAAACTTATGAAGGCATTAGATAGCTTTCCTAGGGTTTGGAACAGAGCCGTGTGTTTTAGACGTTATACAATTCATTCAACCGCACTGTATCGATCATACTTTTTAAAAAAGATTTAA